GCGGTCAACAGCAACGGGTAATTGCGAATTCTGTGACAAGTCGTGGTTTCACCCCAAAAGGCAAGTAATTAATCCTTAGGACGTAAAAGTTAATTTTTTCCCCAAAATATATATTAGAAGTTAAACAAATTAGGAATAGGATGGGACCTACGACGGAAGAGTTAATTTTTCCTCTAAAAAGTAAATCGCAGAATAAATGACTCAGAAAAAAGTAGGGATTCACGACGGAAACGCTGATGATGGGTTCGAGCAGGAATCCGAAACGTCAAGCGAATAAAGCTTTGATTACGACAATCGTGTCTCCTTTACAACTGCTTTCTGGAACTCGCCTCCTTGCTTCTATTGGCAACTTAGGCAGGTACCCAGGACGGGAACATCGATTCTTATTTTTCGAGAAACGCGTGAGAAATCAAATTATATAGTGTTAGGTAGAATGTTATTACCTACAAAGACAAGGGAGACTGAAATGGCCATTTCTGGCCTATTAGCCGTCGTCAGCCAATCATGCCCAACCTCGGGGTGTGGAACACCGGGGACTCGAACTTGCGGTCTGTTAGTTAAAAGTCCAACGCCTCTGACTACTGATCCACAGGCTCGTCCTGCGAACGTAGAACAGAAATGCCAATTTCAATTCCAAAAAAATCCTGAAATAAAAAAGTAGGTCTGCGTAGGTATTTAGGACAGAAACATTACTTTTTATTCCCCGAAAAGTACATTAAAAATAAATTAAAGTAGGACTAGGTAAGTACTTGGGTCGAAGACATTAGTGTTTTGATTTAAGCAGGGACATGGCACCAAGGAACTAAACCCGGCAAAATGACTATTCAAATGCGAACAGTAGACAAATGACAAGGCAGTAAAAAGGGGAAGGATACTGGCATGTCACCTTTGTTTCAATAGAATGTGATCATGTGAACTGGCCCATCTACCTGGCCAAAATACGGCACTCAACTGCGCGTTTCAGATTTCCGGAATAAAGTTTTATCGGCGACTTCTGCATGTACTTTGTACGGTTGAGAAACCTTTAGTTGCTAAGGCATGTAGCATTGTAGATTTGCAGTTTGCCGGCCTACCATCTTTAAGCTCACAGGTATCCAGTACATTGCGTTGCCAATTTTTTGTACCTAGATCAATTAATGGCCTTTCTTGATTTTAGTGGAACTTCTGCCTTTTTTTATCTTAGTGCGTAATTGGCATTTCCACTATCTGCCATCTGCTTTCTATTTTACTTTTGCAGACATGAAGCAAGTGAGGAATAAAGCGAACTTGGATAAATACAAGTGTTTTTATGTGTTATTTTCAGATCTGAGCGAGTACGTGTGCGATATTTGTGGCAGGGCCTTTTCGCAGAAGAAAAGCCTGAAAACGCATATCGATGGTGCCCACAAAAGTGCGCTTTTTTACTATTTCTTATTTGCTGTCCCGTTTTCTTACTGTTCGACTTTTACGACCGTTTTAACTTTCTCAATGTTGTCCTTTGTTAGCCAGTCATTTCTTCTAAGTCATCTAGTTCGGAGTTAATTTTCCAAGGGAAGCCGTTGTCTCTGCCATGTTCTGAAATTTCTATTCTTAATTTTTTCCTCGGAATGACCCTAACGTTGTTGTAAGGTAGCTAGTTGTATGCTGGTGATGGAACACATTCTGTTTAAACGTCAGGTGGGAGGGGGGACAGTGATTGTTCATATAGCAGACTGCAAAGAGCGAAGTGCAAGCGCCCGGACCTTCGAGGTTCCACAAGTTTGGTGTAGGAGGGTACTGTAAAGTCCTGGCTGTACTTTTATTGGTACTATGATGATTTAGTGGTCATAGTTGGTCAGTAGTTTGTACTTTTTGGCTTCACTACTGATCGTAATCCACGACTTGCCGATCCAGCACGAACCTAGCCCTTTAATTGTCGGATCAGCCCTTGTCGGTTGCTGTCGAATTGCGGTCCCAATCCCGAACACTAAGGACTATGGGGCCCAGCATTTTCTCCTGGTCTGCATACTTTGCTCTTCACAGAGGCGTCGACTCTTACTCAGAAAGCATTCAAGGATGAGACATCGTGCATAAGCACACTTCGGGTTGACAGGCTGCATGATTACAATATCTGAGATGATGACGAGTCTCTATGAACGCCTGCAACACGTCGCATCAGGGTTCTCTTTCGGACATGCCAGGTCGATTGTTACAATATCATTCGTTGGTTATAACAAGAGACTTTATTCGAGCACAGGACAGCAGTAACTCGACCCGCGACATCCGTGTCTAAAATTACTACTGCACACTGGTGCATTGGCTCTGATCTGATCGCTAGCGTCGGTGAGAAACTCGGACTTCTTTGACGTTCATTTGATGACGGGTGTGAATTAGGTGAGTGGGGGAATCTCTGGATTTGAATCTTGTCATGCTCTGACCACGCTCCATTGACTGCTCCTTACGATTATTTTGGGCAGGCCTGTTACTGTTCTATCCGTGTACTCAGCCTCACAACCACCAGTGAGTCAACATATACACATTTACGAAACCCGAGGAGGTAATCTCTCTCTCTCTCTCTCTCTCTCTCTCTCTCTGACAAAAGGAGTCAACCACTTCTTAACGCCACTAAGCAGACCGTGAATACACATGCGATATAACCGGATTCGAATGAAGACTTAGCACATAGCCTCTTAAGTCTCCATTAAATTGAAGTAGTTTGGAAAGAAACGCGTTTACTTCGAGTGCGCTCGCCCTTCAATGTACCTCTAAATTGACTTCTCTAGGTACCTACCTTGTTTTTGGGGAATTACTGAATGCAGTCGAAACTCGTCTAGTGTATCTGCAGAGCATATGCATATGACTCTTAACTACCCCACAACCAGACGTCTTGCCTGGCTAAAGATAAAGCATCTGTGGATGTGCGCATATTATAAAGTCCACGTATTCTGTTTAGCATTACGTTCAAAATTGCAAAGGATTTATGGGCTTCTGCTTGTAAATCAAGTCGGATATTATTATGATACACGCCTGTCGCATAGCACGGAGCTGTGTTTACATAGACTGGGAAATTTACTTTTGAACTATGATTAGGGTAACGTGATAACATTTGCCCGCGACACGCGCCACGCGCCATTTGGCATTCTTGAGGGTAAACCCCATCTTCGGAACTAATTCTCGTTGGTTGGCTTGCATGCCGCGCTCTGACATCCTCTGTACGATGAAACAACAAATCTGCTGTGGACTGTTCCTCTGGACTGAGGTATGCATTTGGTAAAGCAAACAGTTTACTAGCCTAGAGTATCACCCATTTGGAAATATGGGTCTGTGCCATTCTTCGCCAGCACCGGCAACCGAGATTTTATTGTATAGTAACTAGGTATTCCATGGAGGAGACTGGTCTAATCTGACATTTAAAGTCGGTGACGTGAATGCGTAATATTAGCTAAAGCAGGTCAAAACCACACTCCTAGCACATATTTGAAGGAATACGAAGCCCACAGATGTATTCCCTGGTCTTAGATGGTGGTTCTACATGGCTGCTTTATTTTCCTCTCGAGTGTAAGGCATTTATTCTGACTAACTGCATGTTTCTCGGACGGTTGTGCTCATATTTATCCTGCAGTCTGCTTGACCTAACTGTTAGAATTTTTGCGCATCCCAGTTTTCCGAAGTAGAGTATCACCTTTGCGTGTAGCCTTGCATTTACTGTATTTACGAATGTCCTGTTCCCTGTAGACGTAGAGACTTCTGTGTGACGCTGGCTTGCTACACCATCTGCTTATACAGTGCGTGACCGATCTCATGAAATGTTAGTCAAAAGTATGAAATGCGTTTTCGATTATGAGGGATTGCTTAAGTGGGGTTGTTATACTGATTGTCATGCAGCATAACCCTATAACATTCCGGACTCGGCAGGATATCGGCTTTTAAATGCACTTCTTTTTTGACCTCCTGCAGAAACCACCCTCGGTAAAAATGACTAGTTATTTAGCATGCATTTTTCCTATTGATTTTCGATGCTCTTATAAATTCAAATATATTTTATAGAGAACATGCACAAAAATATGCTTTCTTTTGCTCATTTGGAAGGAAATTACACTGTCTTCATATTTTATGTCTTAAGAAAGTGTCTATTTAGGGTTTAAGTAAGTTTCTAATTATGAGCTTTTTAAGACCGTGCGATGCCCATGCATGCAAGACCGCACATGTCCGTTCACTAATGCTCCTCCTGAAATGTACAACACAGTGCCGATCCATAGCAAAATTTTACGAACTCTATGTGATATCCTCTTAAAGGCATAGAGGAATATATGATTTTCCTTACGCGGAAAGCATGCACCTTGTAGACTGAAATTGCTAAACGCTGATGCAATGGCAGACCAGGTTGAAAATTATTCGGGAATCGGGAAACTTTTTTAAAACCTAAATGCACACTTTCTTCGGACATAAAATATGAAGACAATGTAATTTCCTTCCAAATGAGCAAAAGAAAGAAATTTTTTGCATATTTTCTGTAAAAGATATTTGAATTAATAAGACTATCGAAAATCAAAAGGAAAAATGCATGCTACATAAGTAGTCATTATTTACCGAGTGTGGTTTCTACAGGAGTTCAACAAGAAGTGCATTCAAAAGCCGACATCCTGGCGAGTCCGAAATGTTATAGGGTTATGCTGTATGACAATCAGTATAACAACCCCACTTAAGCAATCCCTCCTAATCGGAAACACGTTCCAGAATGTTGGCCAAAATTTCATGAGATCGGTCACGCACTGTATCTCAGTCAGTTAAATGCCGTTCCTTCGAGTGACAGTCTTTTCACCTTTGTTGTACATTAGATATGAGACCGAAATTTTGTCGATTTGGTGTCGTCCTGCGATTTATTTATGCGAATTTGAAGTGCCTTAGGTGGATAGGCCGAAACTGTTTAATTTGAACATATCTCACCTACTGTCCCAGAGATCGTGTGTTCATCTTCTTTGAACATATATGTTCCTTCCTTTTTTTCAGACGTGCACGAGTTCACCTGCGATCTTTGCGCCATGGCCTTTGCGCAGAAGGGAAAGCTGAAAGCGCATATCCATGCTGTCCACAAAAGTGCGCCTTTTATCTCAACACTACCATTTCAGTCTCTTGCCATGTAGTTTTTTGTCGATATTTTCTTTATCTACTTTATTGTGCTCTCCGCCTATCCAAAGCCTCCATTCCACAAAGGTCACCTGCGGAAGAAAGTGTTACGGATAGTTGAAGTTTTGATAAAACCCCTTTAATTGATGGGTGCAAGTACTTTGACAAATCGTCATATTGTAGAGCCGGTTTCAACGGCTGGTTCGGCGCCTTGTCTGTTTGTGACAGTTGAGCAGTGGTAGAGAGAGAGAACGCGGGACCCTTCAAAGTATGCAGCCATCGCCACTCTCCCTACTCCGTCATTATTTCAGGGCAGTTCGTTGCGGCTCGCAAAATTCACCATCCTTAAGGCCAAATTAATTTGTCGCAATCGATGGCCGTTGGTTAGCCGACGCACCAGTGCTTTTTAATCTGCCGGGAAGGGGGATGCGCCGGCATTATTGTCAGTTTGAGCAACAAGGAAATATAGCACATCTTCCTATCGAAGAAGAATACAAACTGTTTTTGCTGGTGATCAAACTGCATCTCCTGCGTTATATGATAACTTGAGTTCTTGCTGCTTTTTCTGGTTTAGTTTTTGCCATCGAAGCAACATTTTCAGATTGCACAAGATCTAATTAAAGTCGGAGATACCACATTTTAATTTCTACTATCATTCTAAAATGCCTCTATTCAGTCCGGGATTTTAAACTGTTTTCAATAGTTCAACGTGAGCTGGATTGAATCACCCTTTTCGTCGTAAGCGTAACCGCTACATATGCAACCACCAGAAAACCGTGCGCTAACGCTTTGAGTAACTTATTTGCCTATCTTACTGCGCCATTTATTGCACACTTTGATTTTTCGCGCATCTAATCGACTTCATACTCTTTTCGAAGGCTTTGCGCACAGTTTGCCTCACGTTGCATCCTGATTGACCTCCGCATACCTCGGTAATGGAAGACTTAGCAAAACAGTCGCAATTAACTTCTCGTAAACCATTCTTAAGTGCTCATTACTAGTTGTCTGCAAAATTCCTCAAGGGTACCGCGACCGACAGAAATCAGGAAGGGCATCTCTAATAGGAATGATTAGTCTTCAGCACTTTACTATTACCCTTTAATTTTCAAATAAACTATTTAAAGATCTCTATAGAAGTTAGTTAACTCCAGCTCGATTACCAATGGCGATTTTAATGGATTCCTACTAAGCCGGGGCCATTTCTGCAAGGCTTGCCAGTTTCCTCTCCGGCTTGAGCTAAACAACTGATAGATTAAAAAAAGTGATAATTTGTTTGCTGACGGATTTTCCACTCGGCATGGTAATTCGTCCCTCGGAAGTGCGTTGAGGTTTGTCGAAGCAGACCATTCCAAGATTTACATGTTAACTTTATCCCGCCAATAAAAGAATTTTAGTTAACTATTGTGGGAAGTGCGGTCACCGATCAGGCTGCGATTCATTCTCGTCCCGTTATGACTTGGGGATGAATCTGGGGCCTTCTCAGGCAGTCCCATATAGACCAGTAAGGATGCAGGGAAAGGAATACCGGTAGAGATACGGAAGACTGAAAGAACCACTTTGGGCTTATTAGCCGTCGTCAGCCAGCCATACACAACCCTAAAGTACGTGACCTGTCTCATGAAATCTGATAACGGAAAGTGATGAGAGAATTTCTGGACGACTTTAACGTGGCGCACTTTGTTCGCTTACCCAACCCTTCAATGAAATATCCTTTTATTGTTCAGAAATTGTGTTTACGTAATTATATCAAACAAAACATCAGTAAATTTTAGCGAAAATAGACGTTGGAATATATTCGTGCAATTTCCTATGCTAATACATGTCCTAGACTCCAGTTACGCATCTGAGCGACTTTTTCATTGAAATGATAGTAATTTACCCTCGAGAGTTTTAATAAACTGATTTAGCCGGACTATAAATTTTATTTCATGTCCGATGTTGACCATGGTTATCAACCTGCTAACAAAAAGGTTATTTTAAGAAAACCAGGGGTTTTATCAATTCCTTTATGTCAAATTAGCAAATCTGTGCGATTTGGTGCCCTAAAGGAGGGCCTGAACACTCACTTATTCGGTAAATGCCTTCAAGAACAATCTTATTTTAAAATTCTCAACAGACAGGTAATTCAGAATCTGTCTTTATGGGCGATCGGGTGAAAACACTGAAAATCACGAAGTATTCAGCAATATTTCGAGGCCGATCTGAAACTCAACGTAATCTAAAACGAAGGAAAAGTATAAATTAATTTAACGAAAGAAACGTTCTGTGTATAAACACAAAATGGTATGTTGACAATCACGTCTGTCAGTTCTATTTAAATTTATTAGGCACCGACCGGCCTCATGGCATGTCACCTTATGAAAACTTGTGATCCTACGACGTCTCCATCGGCGAAATCAAGCAAAATCCAGCTTCTCTTGTTGAACCCCATCTCATTTAACTCCAAACAGTGAAGGAACTTATGAAATACTGGAAAACTGTTTTGGAATCTACACTCAGAATGTAGGCAGTTGACAAACTGTCATATATGAAGTCACACTACATATTAAACGATATTTAGATGTAAAGTTCGCTAAGACACTGTTATTAGACGTTATTTTATATCTACTTTCATATTTGCTACGTGTTTGGTATGAGAATACATTCTATACATTTAAAAACGAACTTTACTTAATTAGAGCCATTTCTGACGTTTTCAGGATATTGCACTTTTCAAAATAAATTGACATTTCTAAACAACGGAATACTGCCTGTAATATTTCTTTTATGTTTCTAATTCTTTTAAACTTGTACTTAATTAACATGGACATTTGACTCATGAAATGGTGTCGGTTTGCGAGTGATTGGCAATCATTCGTAAATTTCGACACATTTCATGAATTAGGTCACTAAGTGTAGGTTTGCAGGACCTGTGGTTTGAACCAGGATTCTCTGGTCATTGAGCGCTTTTCAGTATAGCGCACTACCGTTAGATTTGTGACATTATGTGAATTGTCTGAATTGCGTCCTCGCCAGCCTAAGTCAACTTCTAGAAATGTAGGGCGGATTGATCCACTGGCGTGAAAGACATCTGCCTCTCCGTGCCCCTACATCGGGATAGTAATGCTATACGCCAGCTTTTTTCTGATCGACTGCCGGGTGAGATCACTTCTTTTCTGGTTGGCTATTCAACCCAACAATAGTGATGTAACACACCGTACACCATGGCCTTAGTTACAGATTTAATATCAGTCCACGCACACAAGGTGACGTCTGAGCACCGCTAAACTAAATTTGTTAATTGAACTTATCCGTTAAGTGCTCTTCCATCATGTAGAAACACTTTCAGCAGATTGTGGTGTTACCTTTTTTCGATTGCTTTACGCCAACTTAATATCAGGAATAATGGGGTTCGTTGATTAGTTTTAGAATTTTGTGTTTTTCAGGTCTCGGGTATTACATGTGTGACCTTTGTGGTAGGACATTCGCGCATAAGGCAAGTCTGAAGGCACATGTCGACGGTATTCACAAAAGTGCGTCTATTTTTTCTCCACTGTTTGATTATGTTAGTATCCACTTTAAATTCTGCTTTGCCTTAGTCCATCGGGCTTCTTTGACTTTCTTTTTGTTTTGAAGTATCCAGGTAGGGTACATCATTTCTCTGAGGAAAAGGCGTTGTGTTTTTTGTGTGTCTCTGGTTGTTCTTTTTGACCATTCGCACGAAAGGAGTAATAGCCGTTTTTATAACGGCACTTGACTTACGCAATGAAATCCGTTTATAGAATTGCCAAATGGATGTAGGAATAGGTAGTGTGGAAAAACATAACTACTGCACAGTTTAGCGAATGATCATACATATTTTGTCAGTAATTGAAAGTCCTCACCATGCCTGTTTTCGTGGAAAATGACATAATTTTTCGCACATTGTTTTTCCTGATCTGCATGGATGAAAAAAACAATGTTCAAATTCTTCCAGATCTTTAGTGATCATGCCTAATCTTGCCCATCCCTATAATGTCGCCAATTGCATTTACTTCATAGGTGTTTTGGCAGATTTTGAGCAATTCATATCGACCCAACTGTGAAAACTCGGCGCCTCGGTGGGATTCGAACCCACGCAGTAAGGGCAAGGCTTTAATACAGCCAACGCTCTAACCTGCCTGGGCAGTCAGCTTACTGTTTTAGATTTGGTGGATTCCAGACTTTGCAGTAGGTTGGGCGGGTAACTTGACCCAAATGTGATTAAACTCGCGTCATTCGGCGGGGCCTCGTAGCTCAAGTGGTTAGAGCGTTGGCTGTACTAAGGCCTTCCCCTTACTGCGGGAGTTCGAATCCCACCGAGGCGCCAAGTTTTCACAGTTGAGTCAATATGAATTGTATGTACGCATGGCAATTTGTGGAGAGCTTAGTCTGTGTTCTTTACGAAGGAGACTGTGTGCTGAAAGACCAGGAACCACCTCTTTGTCTTGCCGGACCGTGTTAAACTGGGTTTCTCGTTGGTCTCTTTATTCAGCGCCTCCAGGTGGACTCTGGTGTCTAATAGAACGTAATTATAGCTCATGGTGCGGATATCAAAGAATGTACCCAAACTACCTCAGTTGCCTTTGTTGGAGGACCTGATGTATCCTCGCGATGAGTGCGGCCGTCTCATTTAAGACGAAGTCGGTTAAATACCCCCAGTTTTCACTCGCCTTCCACGCGCACAACCCAGCATTCACAACCGAACAGAAGAACTGACAAGACGGATCACGCGGATCTTTGTAGCGAGAGAGATGTCTCACCAGGTCCATTGACTTTTCTAATAATGGGGAAAACCCCGCAAACAGCATTGATTCGGGAGGCGATTTTGTCTTTGCTTTGTTCATTCGGCAGCAGCCTCGTCTCAGGCGTTTGGGAATGTCCACTTCTCCAGGTTGACAGCCATTAATCCCGATAAGTAGCTCCTCCCAGTCGGGGATACACCTCGAAAACAACTCGGTCTTCTCGGCGTTTATGGACAGATCAGCGGATTTAGCCACTTCATTTACCCTTGACACCGCAGACTGTAGATCACCAAAATGTGAGACTAACAAGGCTATATCGTCAGAGTAGCTGAAATCAGGCATCCAGCGTCAGTGTGCAAGCTCAATATCCTCAACACTGTATAAACGCTTTCTAGAATCCAGTCAATGACGCAGTCAAACAGGTTGGGCGACAGACTAAAACATTCTCGCACGCCAAGCCAAATATTGAACCATTGGGGAGGTTATCCGGGACCAGAACTCGCACAACAATGAAACGATAGTAGGCCCTGATGATGGCAAGGATTTTTGCCGACATACCACCAGGTCTTATTGTCCGTCACAGGGACTCGCGATGGACGGAACCAAGCGCAGTTAGCAAGGCCGCCAGCCATAGCGCAATCGTAGACTGCGCCTCAGTGTACTTACCTGGTTCGCTCACCCATCCCAACTCGAAACGAGGTTTAGGTAAATCGTATTCTCGAATCACACTCTGGAAGCGCCTGAGAATGGCAACAGGCAATACGTCCCCAACAACGTCTATTAGGCCTGTACCGCCCTATCTCCGCCACTTCATCTTACATTCCTTCTTGAAGACAGGCCATAGGAAGCCCGACCCCAATCTTTAGGAGCGGCCTCATCTCTCCGCACATCATAGAGGCATGATGCCAGATTGTCAGCAGAAGGCTTTTTAGATTTCAGCAGGAGTACCGTTCTATCCGGGCGTTTTGTTTTTGCACAGCCACAGTATTGCTCTCACATTTACCAGCTGAGGATGTGGGGGGATCAAATGACAATGCATAGACTGGAGAAGGATACAGCTCCGCTGCAGACTTGCGAGAGAGAGAGAGAGGGGATAAGCGTGTGTTGGTTACTGAAGATGAAGACGCGCTTAAACTGCTCACGTCAGTGCTTAACCTGGGGCGAGTTGTCAGCAATAAAGCCGCCACTCGTCGAGTTACCCAATGCAGGGGTGCTGACTACTAAGCAGATACTTCGGCAAAATCTCATTTCTTGGCCGTGCCTGTTAGGGGCTACGGTAAGGGGTCAGGGTTTGAAGTTTGGAATTAGGGTAAGGAGTTAAGGGCTAAGGTTTGGGATTGGGATTAGGGGTTGGGGTTAGGCTGGGGCTTGTCCATTGCTGGTACGGCTACGAAGTAATATCCGACCGATAATTCCATTGATTTTGCTATTGTCGCCAACGTTAGAAGCGTGCTCAACGTGAGTCAACACCAGACAAATAGTCCTTGCTATCTTGCCTGTCCGACCTCGCCAGCACTTTCTAGACTTGGCAGAAAGAATCATTATTGCGGGAACTAGCTCGAACCGTCTAGACAGGCAACTCTGAGATTCCTTCACTGATCCAGTCACTGAGACGATGCTGAGCCAATCAAAGGATACTCTCAGTTTCCGCGAAGAGTGAGAACTTCAGTCATGTCTATTTGTTACTGCCTTCATTTTGACTCGAGTTGTAAGGCAAGACCGTGTCAGCCGAGGGTACATGCGTTCGGTGCGTTGTAACAAAAAGCCGCGCAGTTGTTGCTGTTCGCGTGTGTCTCTCATGTTGGACTCCGGCACGGGTTCTTAAGTTAAGGCGAATATATTGTCTGTTTCGCTTGTTCCCTCTTCTTTTAAATTTTCTATATTCCCCGGGGTTTCCTAAATTAGGTGTTTTTCGACCGTCGCATTTCACGAGGTTCGCAATCTGCTGCAGTAATGAACAGTTTTCCGCAGATTGCTTGCCTCGTTTAGATTTTTCTAGTTTTTATACCCTGGGATTGACTTGCTACCTAGTTAGACTTAGGTCGGTAAGGTACCTTTCTTAGTCCAGTGGGAGTCCTTTATTTTTTGAGGGAAACTAAAGAATTTTAAGTTCGGCGACTTAACGCCGGCTTCCAATTTGCGCTTCTTTAATACATTTAGTCATTTTTATGTTTTTTTAGACCTGCGAGATTATACATGTGATGTTTGTGGCAAGGTTTTTGCACAGAAGACGAACCTGAGGGTGCATGTCGACGCTGTCCACAAAAGTGCGTTTATTCTCTCGACAGCTTTGCTTTCGATGTAGCCATTGTTTGGTACATCTGTTCTGCTTTTTGAGTGCGAATTTTTCCCACATACCCTGCCCTGGGAATGTGCTCTCTTAGTATGTTGCAAAACTAGTGTTCCAACTTTGCTGGCGAATTAAAGAGCCTCTAGAACGATACGATCTTTGAGACCTCCTTCGTGGCTGCTCTTATGCCTTAGTTGTTTGAGACGGATGAATACATAATGTTATTTGACAGATATTTTAGAGATTGGTTAAACTCACTTTATTGCAGTACCATCAGACAAGTAAACCTCGTTGAAGCATTACGTTTAAACTGACCTCTTCGCGGTGCACAAATGCCACCGCTTGAGAAACGTTGGGTGAGGATGGATCGTACAGTGTATAATTTAGGTTTTAAGAAAAGTTTCCGATTGTGAGATTTTTAAGACCGTGCGATGTCCATGCATATAGGATCGCACATGTCCGTTTTCCACTGCTGCTCATGAAGTGTACAACACAGGTAGGATCCATTGTGAAATCTTATGAACTCTATTTGGTATCTTCTTAAAGGCATAGAGGAATTTATGATTTTCCTTACGCGGAAAGCATGCACCTTGTCGACTGAAATCGCTGAACACGGATGCAATGGCAGATCAGGCTCAAAAAATATTCGGGAATAGGGAAACTTTTTTAAAACCTAAATATACACTTTCTTCGGACATAAACTATGAAGATAATGTGATTTCCTACCAAATGAGCGAATGAAAGCATATTTTGTGCATGTTTTCTGTAAAATATATTTGAATTTATAAGACCATCGAAAATCAGTAGGAAAAATGCATGCTACTTAAGCATTCATTTTTTACCGAGCGTGGTTTCTGTAGGAGGCCAAAAGTAAGTGCATTCAAAAGCCGACATCCTGGCGAGTCCGGATGTAATCTTTCCTAATCGAAAGCACATTTCATAATTTCGGTCCATATTTCATGAGATCGGTCACGCACTGTATGACCCCACTGGATTCAACATGTACAAATAACTACTTTATTTGTTTTAGTATGGCTCATTTAATCCAATAATTCATCAATGTCTATTTCTGGCTTGGTGGCCGTCATCGGCCTGCGATTCCCCAACCCCAACGCCGGCCGTTTGAGCTTTTAGCCCGGTTTTTTTGTATTAGTACGCTCCCTCATTTGAACTAATACCACGTCCAGTCGGTTACTATCACGAATTCGCAGTTCCGATTTCTCGACGAAAATGGTTATTTCCATGTTGTTTTAGATCTCGCCTAGACTCGTCACAGACGCCCTAATATCGTCTAGCGATCAACAGTTTTACGACCATCCTGTTAACCTCTAGTTTCCTGCGTCTTTTTTGCCCTTACCGTACTCCCAACGTGACAACTCCGACGATGCCCACAGCTTGATGGCAGCAGGGACGGTGACTTGTGCGTAAATTACTCTGTACTGGTGGTACACTTTCGCGGCATCCACCGCACTCGCTGTCGAGAGAGAGAGAGAATCAAGAAGGATGTATCAGGCGCAGGTGGCTGGCGCGGCGTGAACCCACACCTTCAGTGCGTGACCGTTTTCATGAAATGTTGGCCTGAATTCCAACATGCGCTTTCGACTAGGTAGTGTTGTGATATTAATCTTCACGCGGCATACTCCCATGATATTTCGAACTCGCCAGGATGTCAGCTTTTTAATGCACCTCTTTTCGACCTCCTACTAAAGGCGCACTCGGTAGTAAATTACTACTTAAGTAGCATGCATTTTTCGCATTGATTTTTGATGGTCTTAAAAATTCGAGTATAGTTGGTAGAAAACACGTAAAAAAATACGCTTTATTTTACTGGTTTGGTTGAGAACCACGTTTTCTACACATTTTATGTCCAAAGAAAGGGCATATTTGGGTTTTCAAAAAATGTCTAATTATGAGATTTTTTAAAATCATGCAGTGTGCATTCATACAGCATCGTACCTGTCGGTTTGCCAAAGCTTCTCATAAAATTTACAACATAGTCCTCATCCATTGCAAAAGCTTATGAACACCATATGGCATATTTTTAAAGACGTAGAGGAATATGTGATTTTTCTTACGCAGAAAGCATGCACCTTGTAGACTGAAATCGTTAAACGCTAATGCAGCGGCTGATCAGGCTCAAACTTATTCGGGAATTGGGAAACGTTTTCAAAAACCTAAATACACCCTTTCTTCGGACAAAATGTGAAGAAAACGTGGTTGTTCACCAAATCAGTAAAAGAATGCGTACTTTTATACGTGTTTCGTACAAAATATATTTGAATTTAGTAGACCATCGAAAATCAATGTGAAAACGCATGTTACTCAAGTAGTCATTTTTTGCCGAGTGCGCCTTCTGTAGGAGGTCAAAAAGAGGTGCAGTCGAAAGCCGGCATCTTGACGAGTTCGAAATATTATGGGGTCATGCCGCGTGAAGATTAATATTACAACACTGCCTAAGTAATCCTTCCTAATCGAAAGCGCATTTTAGAATTTAAGCAAACATTTCATGAGATCGGTCACGCACTGTATGCGGGCCATCAAATCCCACTACCAACATGCAGTGAGGGATCTATCTCACGAAACGTTAGCCAAAATTCTGAAGTGCGTTTTCTATCGGAACGGATTATTCGGGCGGGGTTACAGCATCGATTACTATGCGGCAAGAGTCCGTACTATTTCGGACTCGCAAGGATGTTGATGTTTAAATGCACTTTTTTGACCTCCTGTAAAAACCCCAGTCGGTAAAGAATTACTTCTTAAGGGGTATACAATTATGACATTAATTGGAGAAGTTTCATGATTTCCGAATAATTTTGAGCCAGATCAGCCGTTTTATTACTGTTTACCTATTTCAGTCTACAAGGAGTACGCTTCCCGCGTACAGACAATCATAAATTCTCCTAAGCCCTTGAGAAGATATCATATAGAATTCATGAAATTTCGCGGTGATGCGGACCATGTTGTATATTTCATGAACAGCATTAGTAAACAAACAGGTGTGCTTCTCTATGAATGTACATCGCATAGTCTTGAAAAATCTCATAATTATAACCTTTTTTTCTAAATCCGAAAGGTACTTTTTCTCTGGGTATAAAATGTGAAGAAGGCCTGACTTGTTACCAAATGAGGAAAAGATTGGACATTTTGTGTATATTTTCTATAGGATATATGTGGGTTTCTAAGGCCATCGAAAATCAATGTGAAAAATGCATACCATACAGGTAGACATTTTTTGCCGAGTGCGGTATTTACAGGAGGCCGAAAGAAGTGCACTCAAAAGCCAACTTCCTGGCAAGTCCGAAATATCATGGGATTATGCCGCGTGGTAATTAGTCTTCAAACCCTACCTAAGTAATCTTTCCTAGTTGAAAACGAATTTCAGAATTTCAGCTAACGCTTCATGAGATAGGCCACTCACTGTAGGTACCAGCCAAAAGCCCAGAAGCGTTTCGCAGCAACGAAAAAAATCGGCGAAACACGTATACTATCTTTTGTAGAAGGTGGATTAAATAATTATTCTGAAGAGGTCAATTCCCTTCGACTGAAATGTTCACAGTTTCGGGACTGACCGAAAAGTCACGTTCCCTGCACTTAATTCCAAGTTGGCGAAATTATTAGTTTTATGCCTTTTTATCACTGTTATTATGTAATAGCAGTGCTAACCGCACGCCAAATCCTGGCTACTATTATTTTACATGTTGTGGTCCTTAGCTCGCTTGCACATGCGTGTTAGCTAATCTTCTGAGCAACGAAATACATCCTTTACGAGTAATAAATGCGCTTGTCATGAAGCTTCAGCGAATCCTATGCTTAAAGGTCGATCCGGATTGTTTTCAGAAGAACTCAAATTGTACTCCCCGCATGAAATGCGCACTTTGTGAAAGTTCCCGAACTACTTTTCTTCTAGCTGCAAGTTTTATATCATTGTTTTTCACGAGACCGGTTGTAAAATCCGTCTAGCGTGAACGCTGGGTGAACATCGCGGGTGCATTTTGCGGTGTGTTTTTGGCGTATTTCTGTGTATTTGGGATGGTTATGTTTCTTGAAGAAGGAGACACGATCGCTGGGACAAGATCCTTATTAGCCTGACGTTTCGGTTTCCTCCTCTAACCCATCATCAGAGACAAAAGCAGATACGGTTGGTTCATGCACAAGGGCTGCAGTATTTGCACTTGCATCCTACAAATACTGCCGCCCCTTGTGGTTATGTTTATGCCAAGTTGTGGGTATGCTTCATAAGAACGCAGTGTACACTGCATGTTTATTTCAGACAGCAGCTTAGCATAATTTCCAAAAGAAGAAGATGCGATCACTGGAACAAGAAGTTTATTGGTCAGACATTTCAGATTCTCGCTCGACCCATCATCAGAGACAGCAGCTATCTCTAATGATGGGTTCGAGTGATAGTCCGAAAGGTCAGGCCAGTAAACTTCTTGTTCCAGCGATCGCGTCTTTTGAACTGCCTCCTGGAACTCGCCTGTTCACTTCTATCAGCAGTATTTTTGGGCGGGGTGCGCTCCGACAGGGGAAGACGTTTGTCCCTCGAGAGTTGTCTACGTATGAGCAGATTAAGCATGGTATCTTAGTGGGCTGTTGTCTTTTTCCGTATTAGGTCTTCCACTTGTAATTTTGAATTTACAGAATTCGACATCATAAAATCTAGTCCAAGGTCTGTTAGGCCTCGGTCTGTCGATTTAAAGCTTACGTTTTTGGATTTTGTGGCAGTTATTATTTTAATGATTCACTTTGTGCAGATTTAAACTGGATCAGGAATAAATTCGACTCCGCAGTCTATCTACACCTTGCATGTATCTTTCAGATCTTCGGGAACACGCGTGCGACATTTGTGGCAAAGCCTTTTCACAGAAGGGAAACCTGAAGGCGCACATTGATCATATCCACAAAAGTCTGTTCATTTCCTTCACTGGTTTTCCTTGACATTGTCATGCACCTCTGACTTTTACGTCACCTTGATTCGGTCCGTGACTTTAAATTTTACCGCTCGTTTTCAAAGATCGCTGTCGCATACTTCCAATGGCGTCTGTTTTACTTTCGCAAACCATTATGTAAACCTTGCTTACGAAGCGGATAACAGTCGCCTTGATGGCACTAACAGCCCTGGTTGATGTACTTAGTCGACTGCAATAACCAAGGTTGAGTCCTAAGTGCTTGGTAAAAGTGTCAAAGTCCGTTTTTTGCGAAGGAGGAAGTGGACTTAACAGCTATGCTCCTGTCTCCGGGGCGTCCCATTCACAGTGCCAGTACATACTCCCTGGGAATACAATCACTTAGTGGCAACATCCATTGCTTACTATTGTCGACTTCATTTGGGCAACATCTACTTTACTAGAGCGCATACAGTGGCCCTGCTTGCGTCCAGACGTTTGCTTCCAACTGAGGATATTTATTTTACTTGGAAAGGCTTATTTTATTAAAAGGAAGTGTTCATGATCTCGTCGGGAGAAAATGCCAAACGCACCGTTTGTTGGTCATGCTTTTTCGGAACTGTATCCCTCGTTTTCAAGTTAAAATTAAACTTTATTCACGCCCTGTCTGTTACTTTTTCGACCGGAGTAAATAGTCATGAGGGTGCTTTCATTTTAAAACGGGACGGGCTTTCTGAGCGTTGTGTGCCGCGGTTGTGTGAATGTCCCCTCACACTCTAGCGCTTAAATGGAAAATGATTTTCTATCTCCACCCCAAACTGCATCCAGATTTTTGTCACTGTGTGTACATCAGTTACTTGGTCTTATGGTCAATCGGAATATGATGCTGTATCAGGTAGCGCTTGCTACCCGGATTCTCCCTCGGTGTTAATTATTTTCCTTGAGTGCAAACTATTCAGGCGTGTGGTACGCGCTGTGTCGTTTACCATCTGTACGCCAACGAAGCCTCCATGTAGGGTATCCAGTTAAGGAGAAGGTGGCTTACGAGTTATCCTCTCGCCTAGCTTCACAGAAGTATAAAGTTCGCATTTATTTCGCGTCGATCTTTAATTTCGTTTGTGATAAATCGATATTAACAGAGAATCGTACCGCCCACTCTAACCCATCAACAACGTGTTTGTTTTCTAGAACTGCTAGAATTGACGTGTGAAATGTGCGGGAAAGCCTTCAAGCGGAAGGAATACCTGCAAAAGCATCTCAACACCATTCACAAAGGTAGCTTCTTACGTACTTTTTTCTTGCTGCCTACTTTCGTCAACAAATTAACTTTTTCATCACTTTGGCACGCTTTCTAACACTTTCCTGAGTGCTGTTCCTTCATGGCTCTTACAGTAGGTGGACTAACTCATGAAATGTCGACAGAAATTCCGAAATGGGTTTTCGTTTCGAAAAGATTAATTAAGTAGGGTTGTAAAACTAGTTGGCCTGCAACATAATTCTATAATATGTCAGTTACCTCAGGATGCCGGCTTCCGAGAGAACTTCCTTCCGGCTGCATGCAAGGACCATACTCTGTAAAAATGACTACTTAAGTAGCATGCATTTTCTCATTTATTTTCGATGCCCTTAAAATGCTACTATATTTCATGAAAAAAATAGATCTAGACTCCAATGTCTCTTTCTAAATTTGGTGACCGTACCACTCACTTTGATGATATCGAGGACCGTCGTCTTCTTTGAGACTTGGTCCGTGTGAAATTTAGGGAAGAAGTTGTATGTGGCGTACGTAGACTTTGTCTGCCTCCCCGCGCACGACCATCGTCTGCTGTCTGAACTCTGACTTACCCTTGGACCACGTTGGGTGTGAGGGAGGGGGCAAAGTAGATGCTACGCTGGTCACTACTGCGCCCTCTTCGGGACAGTGGTAGCTCTCTCATCCCTTGCGATGTACAAAGTGGCAGATTGTTTTATACGTACTTTTAGGAATATTTAATGAGAAACGAATTAGTCCAAGGCCTCAAGCCGGCCTGCCATATATTGCTGGTCCATATCGGCTGCATCGTAACTGAACCCATTTTCTTGTGATCACCTGCTGCAGTTGGAGTGCGACATATGCCCTGCCGAATGACCAGCACTTTCTGTGGACAACTTCGTCTATCGTATTACCGACAAAGACAAGGGAGACTGAAGTGGCCATTTCTGGCTTACTGGCCGTCGTCAGCCAGTCATACCCAATCCCCCCGAAGTGCGGAACTTCCGAGGCTCGAACTCGCGACCTGTTAGTTAGGAGTCCACGCCTCTAACCACTGGACCACAAGCCGGTTGCCCTGTCGGTTTCGATCGGGAATATACAATAATAGGGGGCGCTCACCGATCGTTCTTACGGAACTCACTCGTTCCGTTGTGCCTTACGGATTCTCTCTCGAGCCAAACCAGGAGCCGCACAGCGGCGCATGATATAGGCAGAATGATATTACCGGCAAAGACAAGGGAGACTGGAATGGCCATTTCTGGCTTATTAGCCGTCGTCAGCCAGTCATACCCAACCCCGAAGTGTGGAAGTCTATGTCTGTCAGATTGCGAGCCATCGTTAGACAGTTTGCAGCGTCAATTGGTGCCGCTGAAGCAACCTAGAGACATCGATTTCTTCCAAGAACAATAATTTTTGTATTAGGTGGTATTTGCCTAGGCGAAAGTTGAATTCGTCCTCTAATAGGAGTACCCGTTCAGTTTTTTTCAGGACTTACTCGTTGCACGGACAACGAAGTTTGGCCTCACCTGGGTGAATGGCCAGGGTATCAGTCGTGAGACGATTGAACACCCTGGTTCTTCCGTCTTTTTTACTACTGAGAGGAGTTTGTCTGTACTGCGACATAGATCATTTTTTATTTTCCTTTTAGGATCTTCGGGCGCCTGAGTGTCGTGTGCCCCCTCTGAGAAACCCTCCTTCGTCTAAGATTTTGCTCAAAGTCTTTGTAGATGCCTGTTAACTGTATTTGCCTTGTACAATCATCACATTTTTATTTTTGAAAAGTCTTATCTATTGTTTATTCTTTGCGGATAAAATCTGGGCAAACGATTAAAGCCACTACTTTTTGTCTTTTTTATGTACCGCTCACTCTGTTCTGTTAATGACCAGGCTCTCCGCGATCATTTTTAGATGGTCATTTTTCGAAATTTGGCACGCCCAACGTCCTCTCCCGACTCAACTCAATAATTTCTTCGGTTAACTACCGTGACAGTGCCATCAGTTAGGCTTTAGAAAGGCGTCTGAACTGGGTTCCGTCTCTGTGAGACAGATTGCGTGATGAAATTATATGGGATGCGAAGACTGATTGGGACATCACTGTGGGTTGTCCTTGAACGGTATCGAATCTTCGCACTTAACTTTTAGTTCCTGGACCGAGTTTCCATTCTCCGGAGGCACGAGCTGTCGAACACCTGGACTTTCCCAACATCATCATCATCGGCAGCCACGCTTTGCAATCACAGAGCCAGTGGCCGTGGCTTCGTGCGTACCAGGATAGACCATAAAACATGCTTCCTATCTGTGTAAGGGGTGCATTCGCTGCACTGCAATGATGAACTCGGATCTAACATGGATGAAAGTCCATAATAAGGAGCCATTGAACCTGACACTCCGTTCGCCAGCCACACATACAATACTGACCACGCGGACTGAGTTATCCTTACAGTTGACAACCATCTAAGCCCTAGCGCATCATGATTGGTTCAGACGCGTCAGGTTTATTTTGTGAGGAAGGCATTGATTTGCCGAGGGGGGGGGGGGGGAAGTGGAATCCCCAGTGTTGACCTCCCCCCTATCTTGCAGCTCTCATGCACCAGCCGACTGTCAGAGCCTGTCAACCAGCTGGTTATGAAATTATGCTCAGTGGCTAACAGAGCTAGACATTTCATCTACGTGTTCCAGAGCCAACCTGATCACTTAATTTACCAGGGCACATCAAAATACAGTAGGTGGGCTAACTCATGAAATGTCAACCGAAAGTCCGAAATGCGTTTTCGTCTCGAAAAGATCAATTAAGCAGGGCTGTAAAACTTATCACCATGCAGCATTGTTCTATAATAATTCAGTTACCTCAGGATACCGGCTTTCGAAAGAACTCCTTTCCGGCTGCAGGCGAAAACTATGCTCTGTAAAAATGATTACTTAAGCAGCATGCATTTTCTCATTTATTTTCGATGTCCTTAAGAATTTAACTATATTTCACGGAAAACGTATATAAAAATATCCATTTTCCGCTCATTTGGTAGAAAGTTGCGTCTTGTTCCAATTTTATACTCGAATGAAGGGTATAATTCGGTTTTAAAAAGTTTCTAACTGAGATTTTTTAATGCTGTGAAATGGCCGCTCATAAAACTTCATGTATCTGCATTTACCAATGTGGCTTGTAAAGTTAGCAATATGGCTCAAATCCAGTGCTACATTTTATGAACCGGATATAGTTTTATTTAAGTATTGTAGAAAAATGCATATTTTATGGATATTTTATGTATGTTTTCCGTGAAAGATAGTTGAATATTTAAGGGCATCGAAAGTAAATGAGTAAATGCACGCTACTTAAGTAGTCATTTTTACAGAGTTTAGTTTTTGTATGCAGCTGAAAGGAAGTTCATTCGAAAGCCGGCATCCCGAGGTAACTGAATTATTATAGAACAATGCTGCATGATGATAAGTTTTACAGCTCTACTTACTCAATCTTTTGGAAACGAAAACGCATTTCGGAATTTCGGTTGACATTCCATGAGTTAGCCCACCTACTGTACATGCTCCCCACTTACATGAGGTGCGCATATTCTAACGTCGGCTGTTGTGCCGGCCATAACGGCGACCGTGAAGCGGTCCACACACTTGCTACCCGTAAAGCGATGTAGTTGTTACGGGCTGTGGTGCGTGGTCTGTAGGGGAAGGTAGGGCATGATGTGGTGATGAGGATGTCTGAAGAGCCCTATCTTCGACGGTTTGCATGGAGGCGCATATGGCTGTGTAGGCGTATGTGGCCACTGAATGTCCTTGAGCAGTATGAGAGGGTGAGACAGGCGCCTCATAATAAATACCTGTGTCAGTATATACATTGGCTGTAACATATGCTATGCCATTCGGTTGAATGCTCCATAAGTCCCCTCATCAACGGCTGGTGCTTAGAAGTGAATAAAAATAATTGTTAGAAAAACACATGAACGATAGATACCTGAGAGACTACAGAGGGGGATAAATACTTCAAAACTTGGATGACAATTAGGTTTGCTATAGTAGTATAAATATTTAAAATGTAACTTTCGTTGGTGGCAATTACCGTGTCTTCAACTGGAAAGAGTAAGGGATAAGGTGTATCATCGCTGGTACCTTCATATGGATACATACAAGACTAGTCTGTTTATTGGATCAGGTACAACCAAGACTTATCGAGAAAGTCTTCAGCCAAATATGAATGATCAATTACTAAAAGGTTTTTTTTACCCAGAACCGGTTACAAGGACCTGCAACTCGCATATTCAATTCCAATCCTCGTTTTATTCACTAAGTAAGTTTGGACGCTGATGTCTGATATTAGAGTCAGCGCACGCATAGCTATCTGTTATTGAGACGCCATCACCAAATCGCCAAAATGTTCATGATGGCAGACGTGGTGAAAAGCACTCTCATTTCCCCGTTGTGCACAACCGTTCGAAATCTTCAGACGCAAGATAAGTTGGAATTCGCTAATTTTCACAGATTTTGATTTGTTTATACGTCAATCGTTATCCAATTTTATAAGCTAAAATGAAATAGCACCTAAACCCCGAGATGCTCCCTATTAAAAAGCTTGGCTGATTTTAAATTTACTGTGGATAAACTGGATCTTTCGCCCATCATGCGTTTTCTGAACTTTATCGAGAAATATGAACAAATTTTCACGATTTTCGACTCATTATCTGACTCAGGTACATTTACAAATAGCCTTTACTTTGTATCACACAGAATCGATCATACACTTGGTATCATCAGAAGTCGCAGACAGATCTAAAGGCAGGTTTAATTTAATTCTCCGCAATATACCCCACTCGATTAACCCAACGCCAACAATTCAGCAACTTATGCACTAGTTTGGCCCAAACATCCGCATAGTCACTACCAAAAGACTTCACTCAAGAAGCAAAAATAAACCCGTACTATTAACATTTTACTCACAGGCCGAAGCCGAGCTGCTTCTACAAAACTCTGAACTAAATAGAAGTCGGTGGAACCTAAACTCATTCATACGTCCAGATTTGACACTAATGCAAAGGCGTGACCTTCAGAGAAAGGAAGTGGGGTGTAAAGACGTTAATCAGAACTACGTTCCATCAACTGAGCATCTAACAACTACTTCTGATTCAGGCACCAATAAAAAGAAGTGCACAGCCCAGCCTGGACAAAATGACAAACGCGCCACCTCCTAAGACGAACCTCCAGCGAGTACTTCTGACCCTACCACCCATGATAAAAAAAAGGCGCAGCTCCAAAAGCAGTGAGGAATGATTGGCAGAAACCAACAAAGGAGGCACATCAAGGTACCGACATTCAACCAGAACAAAACGAACACGCAGATCCCGGATCCACTCACGTGACGCCATTGGATGGTAATATGAGTTTTAATACGACACCCACAAACGATCAACCAGAATTAGAAACTGACCGTCAGACAAGACTTACAAACCAAAAGGCCCTAAATATGTAGGCTGAATTAAACTGACTTAGACTGATTTGACTTAAACGTAGGAAGTAGGTGTTATCCAAACCCCGACCATGAACATTAAGCTTCTATAATTGCAACTCCGCCCCCCATAAACCACCTTCATTGCATATGATTAAGCCAAACCACTATGACATCTCAAACTTCTTAGCACCTAATAACAACCCCATAAATTACTTAAGTTCACACGCTTCTTAAACTCAACCCCCATTTAGATACAAATACCACCTAGTTAACCCACCTCTCCATACGTACCCTCAACCCACACACCCTAACGCACGCATTCACATTCCGCCATACACAACGTCATGTCCTCCAAGAATCACACAGGTCTCTCCTTTTAACGCATCACTCAGTCAAAGTACACTCGGAAACCCGTTTTTTTCATCACAACCTACCTCTTTTATAGTCAACATCCTAAATATAGCTCTTGTAAATGTGAGATCGATAATCCACAACGTATCCCAACTTAGAACTTTCGTTGAAATATATGACCTCGATATAATTCCTATTACAGAGACATGGGTAAATGAACTAATAACGAATGCTTCGATATACGTCCTAAATTATAATTTCTGTCCACAGGACCGTGTTTGTAAACGAAGCGGAGGTTTTCTGATGTACACTAGAATTATCATTGAACAAAGTGGTCTCAATGCCAAAACCGAAACCTTCTCTGGTGAAGCGTGCTTTGGTACAATAAAATCTCAGACTCATGAAAGCATACTAGCTGGATGTCTCTACTGCCCTCCAGAATGTGGTAATGATGACGCAGGTCTCAACCATCTAATAGATAGTATATCCAACATCAAAAATGAATATAACTGCGGGTGACCAGAACCACAGAAATAAACTGGGTCGGATTATTAGCACTTACTAGGCATGGCCAATTGTTATTTTCAATCGTCTTTCACAACTGGAAACAAATAGTCGGCAAATCCACCAGAGAAAACAACATACTAGACGTTAATTTCACCAACGGCGTCTGGTCTCTCTATACGCACTACGACTGCGTGACGTTTGAAAGCGATCACAAAGAAATAATATCGATGCTCACCGCAAACACAAAACTAGCACCTGATTTTCGTGACACTCACATAAATCCCAAAAACCTCGACAATTATATTAGGTCATTAGCTTTAAGCCCATATCTTATAACAACATTCCAAATGGAAGCAGT